GCTGAAAGGTGGTTGCAAAGTATCCCCCTCGTATTCTTGTTGCGTTTCTCTGCTCCATTCTCACCTTATGCATGCATGAGCAATGTATATCACTATTTTAAACCAGCAAGAAAGGTATTCTACCATTACAGTAGATATAAACATGTTTGTCTCTTCTTATTCCTGAGCTGTCCACCATCGGGATGAAATGATGGTCAATATGACCGAGGTCGGCAAAAGAGTGCTTAGGGAAGTTATGTATTGTCTTCAGAAACATTTGGAACATATCTATGTGCACACCAGTGGGTGCATTCCCTGTCCTTGATGCAGATGAGCTTGATTTCCAGGAAGCACAAGTCTGTGTAATTAATGGACAAAGCAAGTACTGGATCACAGCTGTAAAAGGCTGAATATATATCTCATGCACTATGTTGAGTTTGCAGTTCTAACACAGGGGAAGGGACCTGCTTCTGCTGCGGCAGGAGAGCCCGGACAGTGACCAGGATATTTGGTGTGACACTTTTTGCGATGGTGTCACATCTTGTCACGTCCGCGACGCGTTCGGACGCGTCGTTAATTGCTCTTTACTGCCAGAAAACCTACAGCGTGCTACGTTCACATTCACGCGTCACTTGATTCATAAAAGTTAATCTATATCAACGAGCGGATGCAACGTTGGTTGTACATTTTTGTTAAATGTACTTGCAGTCTCATTACCTCTATCTAATGAACTTGATGTTGGGAAATTCGGAAATTCAGAACCAACGTTGCATCTTCTGTATCATGACATCCCTGCCGGTACATTTAATATGCGTGATTTCAACATGCGGAAGGCTCTATGAAGGCGGGGGATTTGCGACCACTTTCTTGCAGAGTCCAAACAGATGCAAACAACTCGCCGCGCGACCCGGAATTGCGCCTCCCCATGAACAACTTACATAGTAGATTTGCAAGATCGGGAGAAACCTGCCCTAAAGTCCCAAATAAGGGAAGTATGACATCAAAACATATCACAAAAGGAAACAGAGGGTGAATGGTATTGAATGCCGGCCCACTGACGCAGTAGTGACAGGCAGAGGAACTTGAACACTCAGGCAAGAGGGATGCATAGAAGTGGCAGGACATTCAATTCATAAGGAGTGGTTGAGACCGGAGATTTGGAGCTTGAAGAACATGACTGCCTTATTCAGTCCTGATATAAATTTCCGAGACTTGTGGTGATATGTTATACATGTCCTGGACCATAGGTCTCCGAAATTATCAATACATTGCAGGAGGTTGAGGAGCCCCATTCGAAGCTGCTGTCTACACACAGTTCGAGTCAAAGGTAGCGGGTTCTGCTGCGCACGAGCGCGGCCCTGCGGCCTTATTCGGTAGCCGGCGAAACTCGCCGGATAACCCTCATGATCAAATACTGACTTAACTGGAATACGAATAGTCCTTGAGTACGAAATATGGTATTTGTACCGACTCGAACCCTTGCCCGGGTGCATTAAAAACTGCATTGGGGAAAAAGCTACCGGACTAGCTGCAACAACCATGCGTGGCCAGTGGTAGACTACACGCAGGACATTGGGCGAGGGCTAGGAACCTAGTTGGTGATGACCGACTCTATCTCATCCCATTCGCCCAACTCCTCCATACTCAACTCCTCCATGCTCCTCTTGCGCGTCTCATCGACACCGTCATTACAATCATCATCGCGCTCAAAGAGGAGGTTTCTTGAGATGAGCGTAGCATTGGGAACAAAGACTCCGCCGCCGATCTCAGCGTCACCGGAAGGGACATAGAGCTTTAGCCCGCCTTTGGTGCGGTAATGTTTCCCAGGTCGCCTGGCGGACTCGGTGAAGATACCAGAGAGGTCCCTGCGCCGTGCCGGTGCACCGTGCTGATACTCTTCGCCGTCGTTGGTGCACCCGCCGTACCCGGGCCCTACGCACCACGGAATGTTACCCTCGTTCGTGAACGAGATCGTAAAACGGCTCTGTTGGTTATTTCTCAACCCCCGATAGAAACCGGATAAGGAGCCTCCCTGGCCTATCAGAGTATCTGATCAATTATGAACGGAGATTACACGAATGAACACGTACTCCAGCATTCTGCCTGGCTCACACAGCTGCCCGCAGTAGAAGTCAGCTACGTCAGACAAGTCGGGCAGCAGCACGTACCGAGTCACCGCGTTGCCGCCACCCTCCTGGCTAGAAGCAAAAGGAAATTCGTCGCATGTAGTCATTCCGTCTGTACGCCCGTTACACCTGTTCGGCTTGGTGCACCCGGCGTCGTCACGACGCTGCTTCTTGGTAGCTGCACTCGGGTCGTCGAACGTCATCCGGGTAGGGAGATTCCTGCAGTTGACTCCATAACACATGTTCTTGCATGTTTCTAGGTAGGGGGCATAACGAATCAGGACCCTCTACGATGCGAGGAGCAGGGCACTCACCAGGAATGCGACTGCAATCGAACGCGAGATTTTGAGCGTAGGTCAAGCCTGCGAGCAGCAAGACGATGATGGCTTTCATGACTTAATGTAGCGATCACAAACAGGAACGATAGCGAGGCCGATGGGATGAACAATACGGTTCATACTTGTTCATATTTATACATTACTACACTGCGCACAGAGGCAAGCGCCTTCCATGCGATATGCAGGGCTCAATGCAGAGAAACAGCGACGTCCAGAGCTGTCGCAGACCCCAAATCAGATTTGCTCCAAAGGTCCTTTGCGAACGCACATCTTGTAACAAGAGTTAGGACAGCTTTCCGGAGCTCTGTGCATTGTATTCATCCTTCTGTGATAGACCGTGACCTAATGGAATATTGAAACAGTGTATCTCTAATTGTTAGCCAATAAGAATACGACTGGACACGAACCCATTGTCTTCTAGGGTGATGGATTTGCAGCGGCCATCATCATAACGGTTAACGTTTGAGTCTATTGCGCCGCGGCATACACCAACTTGCGATGCTGTGTCCATAGCTCCACCAAACGCAGAACCGTTGATACCCGCCAAGACCGCACCCGAGAAGGTATCGGTAGCACCAGACCAGACGACGGAGCTCACTTCAAGAGACCGCACTACGGCAGGAATCGTACTTCAGTTGGTAATCCTACAGCCGCGGTGAGCCCTTTGCATGCGCCATGACTCCTGAGGCTCATATGTGGCCCGAAGTCGCCAATGTCTAATCATCCAGTGCATGTTTATATCCCTTTCGATGGAGTCACTGACGCGGTGAAGCAAGGAATCGTTGACAAGCTCAACAAACCAAACGAGCGGTTCGGCTTCGAGGAACCTCCGATCTCAATAGCGCCCGCGTTAGACGCGGCCGAAGCACCAGCGAGCACAATTCCGGACCATTCAGGAGTGGAGTTCAAAGACGCATTAGAGAAAGAGCTGAAGTACGGACAAGAGTCAGGGCGGGGCACCGCGTTCTTCATCTGGGCGGAAGGCTCTGCACTGCAGGTCTCCGACCCCACCGTGCGAGTGATACATGCCTGGCCACCTGACAACCAGGGAGATGCGCCTAAGGTAGAGGAGATTTGCGCTGAACTCGATGTAGTCGCGCATATCGTCAACTGCGTGGAGTCCGGAAACCAGAGTTTCGACGAATGCCAGGACTGGGCGGGCGCGGATGGCATCGTACGGGCGCAATGAGCAACAAGGAGCGTGATAGCGTGTTGGTATTTACTATGGATCTGTGCCCAGTAAAGAGTCGTACCCGGAGGGGTAGTTTCAGCGAGTGCCCATGAAGGCCTGCGTACTTGTCCGGATTGCTTTGTGTGTACTCAAACGAAACAAGCTTGAAAAAAAGCGGCTCAACGGAATGCAGTCGAGAGACCGGACGGGGACGGAGATTAAGTCAACTTCAGATTATTTCTCAGCTTTCATACAGGCGGAAGTGGCACCCCGGTGGCGGTGTCGGCTTGGTCCTGCATTGGGAGTCCCATTGGGAGTCGTACATACATCCGCCATACCTGTAAGTAGTATGTGCGAGGAGACATTTTATTTCTACTATACAGTATGGATACATGAAAGTCCCGAGAAGTAGACATAGCAACCAGGACGACGATGATCGGGTGCTTACCGCCTTTCTTTCACGTAGAGATGCAGGACAGCATAGCTGGTTATAGTGAACACGCCGATAAAAATCCCTAGCAGGGAAATGTTAGGCCACCAGAAAGACTGTTGAAGGAAGCCGTGAGTAAGAAGTCATTTGGTTGCTCGGGGATACACACCTGAGCTCGTAACCCGAAGATCGAAAGAATTGTAGCAGCGGGGACGTCCAATTCCACTCCATACTATAGGAATGATGTTTAATGGCGTGTGAGCGACAAGCAAATGGTACAAAGCTTGCCTTATATTCCTTCAACTGTAAGTAACGAAGCTCGTTGACTGCTAAAGCTTCAAACGCGGCGTGGAAGAATGAGATGGTATGTAGCCACTGAAGCCCCTTCGGTACGCTGTCGCGGTTGATGAGCAGACCGGTGAACAGCAGACTTGTACAACGGGTTAGACAGAGCAAAAGTTGCAATCACAGGGGAGAACGCTTACTTAAATAACATGACCAGCGTTCCAACCAAACTGGCGACACCCATGTTCTCAAAAGCCACAGATAGCAGTAAGATAACGGTAGCCGTTGTCAGGTTGAACAAGACCAAAGTGAGCATGAACTTCCAGAAGGCCACGACACTGGGAACTAAGCCAACGAGGCCATATACAATGCCGCCAAAGAGCAGAGGCGGGACCACTCTCAAAGGAATGATCTCGAACAGGACCTGTGAGGCGATTAAGGCGATGACTATGATGAGGATGCAGTTTGATATACCTTGGACGCGAAATAAGTGAAAGAGCTATAGTATCCGTTGGCTCTGGGATGATAATTAGAAACTGACGAAGCAACACAAGCGCTTCACTCACCTCTCCCGCATAAAAAGTAGTCGTTCGTTAGAAAACAGACTCAGGCTTGACAGGCAAGAGAATCCGAAGAGAGCTAGCGTGAAGAAGAAAACACCTGAAAGGGTTTGAGGACTACCACGAAAAGAATAACAAGGAATAGGTACCTAGTCTGTTCTGGAAACCTGCGATGTCGTTCCTGTCGGTCACCCGTTAGCTATCAAGGAGTCGTCTGCTTGATATCAAACTCACGTAACGTTGTGGAAGAAGAACCCACAGAAGACTACCGACGCAGGACGTCAAAAGAGGGCCTGGCTGATAGTTAAAAAAACTCACGTGCCAGACCAACGGAAGACAGATAATGCGTTGCCAACAGCGCAGGATCGCGGTACAAGTTTTTGAATGCTCGTCCACTGAGGATCCTGAACTGAGTTGCCCAGCTAGCTCTACGCCGACCTCTGAGGAGGGAGCTCTCCAATGCAACATCGGGCAGTTCGCCATTGGCTCCTGATGTCTGCGCTCCCGACACTTCCTCAATTTCCGTCCGAATAGACACAGCAACATCACTCGACGCATATGCATCAACGAGTTCCTTGATCCGAGCAGATACCGGAGCATCTCCCCTTTGAGACGAGAAAGAAACCGAATCAAGAAGCTGAGAAGTGCGTTTCTTGATGGAGGAGGTGATGCTCGCGGCCGTATTCGGACGATGTAGCTCAATCTCATCTTCCGCGAGAGTAGAAGACTGGCCGCCGTTTGATGATTTCAGCGACAACGACAAGGCGGGACGACGTAAACCGCGCTCTTCGTCTCTGATATGAGCATCCTCACTCGAAGATGCTGCTTCAGCAGGGGGGCTATCGTAACTCCGGGGTTCAATAGTCGCCTGCATAGTCAGGTCGACTGCATCCATCCATGAGCTAAAAGAATCGGATGAGAAACGAAAACAGCTTACTCAGGAAATCAGCGATGTTAAATCCGGGAGGACATGGATGCCCAATGGACTCGAAATATTCTTGGCATCTACCATACTCTCCTGAGTATACTGTCCGACCCTGCGCAAGCAACAGAAGATGATCAAATAACGCTACGATGTTACTTCGAGGCTGATGAATGGTGAAGACAACAGTGCGGTTGTAGTCACGTGCCAAAGATACGAGACTGTCGACAACGTTGAACGCGTTATAGGCGTCAAGGCCTACAGCAGTGGTTAGCACGTGTGCGAACACGCTGCCTGCCGAACGTACCACTCGTCGGTTCGTCGAGGAAAAGAATAGACGGACTAGTTACGAGCTCGCAAGCGATGGACACGCGGCGTTTTTCTCCCCCTGAAATAGATCGATGGCCTTTTCCGAAATTGTAAGACTGAAGATAACTGACTAGATTGGTACATACCTGAATCGCCGATCCTCATATCCTTGATGCCCATGATCCCCAGCTCATTCATAGTCTCCAGGGTCCTGAACTTCTTCGCTGCAAGACTCATCTCCCTGGGCAGCCTCAGCAGCGCGGAGTACAGCACGGTCTCATAAACGGTCAAAGTCGGCATCAAACAGTCCTCCTGATCAACATATCCCACGACTTTTTTGAACTCCGCGTCGTCCACTTCGCGTCCATTGACCAGCGTCGTTCCACGGACATCTCCCCGCTTGTTCTTCCGAGCCAGGATGTCCAGAAACGTGGACTTACCTGCTCCAGAGGCGCCCATGATAGCCATGACCTGTCCCGGTTTGACACATCCGATAATATTATGGAGGATCGTCCGGTCACCCAAAGTATACGTAATGTTGGAGAAGTGAAGAGAGGCCGGGACGTGGTCTGCCATAAGCTTGGCCTGTTCATCCTCAGGAAGACGGATCTTCCCAAAGTCGCCGCCTGTTCTCGCACGACCGACGTACCACAGAACTAGAGACGGTCAGATGATGAAACACGGACGAGCCACTCTGTACTTACTAGCGACTGAGGTAATAACTATGAGACCGGCGCCTGCCGCACTCAGAGCCACCCATCGGGTATTGTCAGGCTTGGGCGGCCGCTAAGGGTGGCACTGTGAGGGTTAGTAAAACTGAGATACGCAGTACTTACCACGTAACCTGGAACCTGCGAGTAATGCAAGCACTCTCCCCCCTCACATTCTAGAGAGATATAGCCATCCCCGAAAATATCGTTGATCAGCTGATTCATAGCTGGCTCCTCGAACTTGCAACCACGTCCGGTAGTGCAGGAGAATGTCGCTGGACCACGTATCTCCTCTGTCAGGAACTCGCCAATGTCTGTTTCATGGGTGAGTGTCATACGCTAATCCTAATATAAGGAGCGGCGCTCACCAACGCTCCCATCTTCCCCACAGATGAATCTCCCTGGCACGCAGCTGCACTTGATGTGCTCGCAGGAGTAGGACGTGACATTGGCATCATACCCCGCATCTATCTTGGATGTACAACTGTCCAGGGAGCAGTAGAATGACTCGACCTGGGCTGTCCAGAACTGGAAGTCACAAGTAGCAGATGGTCTGTCGCAAGCAAACGTAACCTGTGGCGGTCGGTCTGGTAGCATATCGAGAATCTTGCGGTCTGGAATATATAGGAGATGCGTAAATGGATGGTCGGCAGCGTAAGGATAGCTGGCGTACTGGTGACATTGCACATTTGATGATTATTGAAGACAGTCATTCCACCCTTGTAACATGTCATGTTCGATGTACCCTCTTCTAATGACGTCGGCTGGCCGTACAGAGGGAACCCAATGCATGCATCGTCGGTTTGGCAAACTAGCGGTACATGATGTCGAATGCCGCACACAAGATGAAGTCGACTAACGTACCATTACAGTTGATCCCTCCCCATCCATCCTTGCATTCGCACTCCTTACCATCCTCGCGGAGTCTTCGCTGTTCACCATCAGCAAGCGAGTCACACTCTGCGATCGGACGTCAATATTCACAGTTAAGCTTAGACACGAAGCAGTGCTTACGCGGTGTCAAGCAGTCTATACCTCCCCATCCCGGTGGGCATTGGCATTGCCCGTTATATTCGTCACATTGCCCGTACTGTCCGCACGTGAAAGCCGGTAACATGCAATTGAAGCACGGTGGGCATTTCTCTGCAAAGTTTATTCGCACCGAGTTCACCCAATCTAAGTACCAGCACTTACCAGCCGTATTCATATAGAATGGCTATGCCTGGAGTAAAACATTCACCCCTGACACGCAGAGTACCATGATACGTACCGATAGTCCATAACCCGACGTTGCCCTATAAGTATCGTTCCGCAGAACAGCATGAGCAGCAGGGAAGGGCTGTATCAGTACCAAGGCTAACAGTAATATTGGAAGCGCCCCGAGCATTGTCGAAACCATCGTCGCGGAGCAGGCGCTACCAACCGCAGCTCGTGTGGTTCGGGCAAGGGGCCAACGGGGGTATTACCGACGACGTCAACCCTATTGTCGTTGTCCCTTTCCAAGTTTACGGGGTCCCGATTTTCACTTTCTTGCACGGTTTGCGTGCACTTTCTATTTGCGACTTCCCAGAGCTGTATTAAAATCTGAATCTTTTTCTGTACCGTTGAATAGCATTCTAGCACAGGTCTACATACTTTTTGAAGTGGTAGGACATACACTATACCTTTGATAAATGCATCAAGCAAAATCTGAGGACGCGAGCTGCAGACCACTTGCCTGATTCGGACAAACGACGCAGTGTGTCTGAAAACCAGCCATGCGAGACTTTTTTTAACAGTCCTCGTTGAATGGTGCAAGGATTGCTGGTAGTATGAATTGCAGTTGTATATTGTATCATGTGGAGTCTGTAGCCTGTCAAAGTATCTTGTGCTTTCTATACATCGGCAAATTTGAAGAAATATGTATCCATCAAGCCCTGCGGTCATGGTCACAATGGACCTTTGGCAAATATGCGCCCACCAACAGCTCTGTCAAGAGAACTACTATATTTTAAGGACTGTTTATAACCAGTCTTATGCATCAGGAAGTAGACAGGTGTTCCTGTACGTCTGAGTCAGTGCAGAAATATCATCGACTGAGAAGTGTTTGGGATCTTTCAGCACTGAACAATGTGATCTTAGGGATCAAAGATATATATAAGTAGTTATAAGCTATTACCTGTGTGTACATGGATGACAGAGGCTTGTTGATTCCCGACAATCGACCACACAAAACATACCCCGGCAGAAGAGGAGCCGCCACAAATTGCCTTATCAAGGTGGTCCTCTCTCTTATATGATGCTTTCGGGGTCCTGTTCACTTTAGGGGGTTGCCGTCGCGCGTTTTCTGGCCGTTGGCCCCTTGGGTTCGGGGCTGTCCTCTACAGTGGCGGGATTTGGATGAATACTTGATTGAGGCGTGCAAGAACCGGAGACCACCGGAGACGTGTCGGTCGGGTCGGCCGTTCACGGCACAAGTTGCTCTCCCAGGCCACCCCAAGGCCACCTAACCGTGCCAGGGATCTTCATTTCCTCCATGGCCAGGCTCAGTTTGGCTACAATTTCAGTTTAATCAGTTCCGAACCAAGGATTGTGTGAAGTATTGAACCACCTGAAGCTTAAGGTGAGTTCCGAGTCTCGTTGAATACACCCAGCTTCCCAACTTACTATAATAACTTGAAACATAGAAGTGCAGAGCTACTATGATCATTGATAATGATCCAGTGCGCTCGCACTGACCAGAGAGCGAACACTTGACAAGTGTTCGCCCTGGTCACCCCCTTGGACAGCAACTGGACATTAGTACTACTGTCGTCTGGATGAGCGGCATATGGCCCGCCGCCTTCCATACCACGAGATGAGGGCCCAAATGCACAGATCTCATATGATGGATGCATCTCGGCTTCTTATGAGAACGTGGGGACCTCATGATCGTCATTATCAATGCGCAATCTGTTATAAGCAGCAGGAAGACGTCGCACGAGCATGCGATGCTCTTGACTACTCTATCCGCTATGTTTAAAACGTTTCGCAACCATGGGAACTGCTACTTACACACTAAAACTCCGTTCACTCGTGCCCCGCCATCTCCCCTCAAAAGGAGGAACACAGCATACTGACATTCTTACCATACCACAGTCGCCCCGTTGTATACCATGGCAAACATAAACACAATGTCTGCGCTCGATGCCAGTCTGGGAATGATCCTCATAGGTGCTATAGTATCCACTGCGTACGTGTTCCGTCATGTCGGGAGCCATCATAGACTGACAACCGTCGACTTCAGGATGTATGGTACTGCCTGTGCTCAGGGCATATTCTATTACAAGAAATTTGGCAAAGAAGATAGTCGACAGCTGAAGGGTCTCGTACGTATTCTCTGCGAGCCTTCCTGGATACGATTGAATAGATGCCTGTCCGCGAAGATTGCTACCCTCCTGGTGGTAAGCCTCTAAACTGACATCAAGTCTTAGGTGCCGTCACTCATACCTGCTAGCTCGAAACCCTGCAACAATGTTTCGTTCTAGATGCCGTATGGCACTATCTTATTCTGCGGTGCGAAGGTAGTGTGGCTAACTGTTCACGTTTGCATTGGTGCGCGAAAAATCTTGTGTAAGTGCACTTGTGCCAACTTCCTTTCCCTTAGGAGTCTTGCGGTATGCGCGTTTGATATATGTCGCGAGCAGGCTTGAATTTATCCAAATGTTATATGCTAGGTGCAGACGATGCCCGCGGTATGGCGCAACGATCTATTCGCTGCGATTCAACCCTCATAACGTGTTATTTATAGGCATTTGTAGTTTTCCTAGTCCAGTGGCATGTTTTATCTGGCACTATTACGGTCGGTAATCCTAACTGATGCCCCACTTAGCTTTTACATCTTCAGGGTTACGACATGTGAGATAGTATCTCCAGGTCTTCCCAACTTCCCGTAGTAACGAACGATGTAGACAGCAGGAAAAAACGTTTCCTGATATCGGTCAGTCACGCTAGCAGTTCTCGCTGGCGCCCTGTCGATAGGCTCAATTATCTATGACAGTGCATACCAGCCGTTGCAGCCGTAGGTATGATACATGTCCAGCCGAAGTCAAATAACTGGCCTAATAAGTTGTTTACAGGCACTTCGACCGGTGAGCTGCTTACACTGCCTGGTTGTAACGACTCTGTCTAATACTACATAGCATTTGTCATTCAGGCGTAAGATCTTTATTCTGGTATGTCCGCTGAAAGGTATTGACCTATAAGTTCTTGGGAAAGCTTCGATCTGCCAAATTTCGCGTCTTGGAGCACTCCCACTCATGCAGTATTGGTGCTCAAAGTACTGCCCACTCTCAGAACGAGAATTTCCGGTTCACTGAACGGTTCTATTTGGCTTGATGCAGAGCCTTGATACCACCGGTGCCGCATGCTATCTGCTCGTAGACGCGGTGATCGCGGTTAGCATGTGCTATCTCCTGTGGAAGTCCCGAGATGGTTTACCTGCTATGCAGTGAGCGAGGTGACAGCATTCATGGTGTTGCGGAGAGCTTCACTATTTGACTTTAGCTCTTTCGTCAACACCCTAATCAAGTACACGGTAGCTTCAGGATTACTCACGTGGTACGTATTGAGGCGGTGTTGTAAGCATGATCTGACCCTTCCCTTCCTGGCTTGGCTTGCAGTCTCATCACGTTGTTCTACGTATATCTCGTTGAGTACTTCCTTGGGTATTCGAGGGCGGCTCCCTGATCCTGCACAATTCAGTATGAGGCCTATATAGGCGGTAACAATTTCTCTTGGTTATTGGTCTGCTTCCTGTCCTCCAAAGGTGTGTGCGACTCCGCAACTACTATGCCCATGCCCAACTACGTTATCCTCGTATCTACAGTTTACTCCAACTCGATTCTATCCTCGTAAGTTTCTCATTGCCTTCAACGCCGTTGCTAATACTTCTTCAGGCTGAATAATCGAGACTCGTACCGATCACGGCTTGCGCGTATGACCTTCCAACCTGTATGAAATACTATATTTTCCACGGATGCATCGGAAAGAGTGAGTTATGCTAAGTCTGCATTGGTGGGCTCACTTTCGGAGCATGTCAGCGAGACCACTCGAAGGTCGAGGAACTTCCAATGCCATTACCGTGATTCTTGAGATCATTGGAACTATCATATTCATAGTAATTTCATACTGACCAACGATGTCACTTTGCACCTCCGACGTCATCCCCTGCAGTCCCGGCGTGTCTATAGCCCAGCCACGTGCGCCCATCACCCAGTACTGGCGTGTCGCGCCTCAATCCGGACGAAGAAAGGAGAGCCATTTGCTAGTGCTGCGTTCCCAGCCCGCGAGATATATAAGCTTTGGTTGTGTCATCGTGCATACAGTATGAATAAATTTGGTCCTCTGAACCGCTTTCTCCAAGCCTACGATCCTCGTACTGGACGCAAACGCGATCGAAAGTACCGATCTCACAGTCAGAAAGCGACGTCCGAGAATTCCTCTATGCACTCCGGTGTATCTGACAAGTTTTCCAGTTTCAGTGGATGTGCAATATCTTCTCTCTAAGAACCTGAACGGTTCCATGGCGCCTCCCACCAAACCTCCGACTGATTCGAGTTTACTCACAAGGCTTCCCGATGAACTTCTAGCTTATATTATCCAAAGCGTGCCTTTAGGAACTCTGTTCAGTCTTCGCGCTGTTGGTTTGTTCCGTGCTTTCCTCCTCTTCTCGTGTCTAATTCTTTTACCTTTGAAGACGTGCACGCGCATGCGTCGATTCTTGGATGACGCCGCTGTTTGGTATGAGGCGATAAGCATGACTCTACGCATCCCTCGCACTTGCGTAGAGAGCATCCTAAGGGACCCATCGCCGATGAATATTCAACAGAAAGCCCTCAGAATCCACGCGGTCAATCAACTGTGGCACGAGCCACGGTCCTATCCTCGTCGAATTCGAACGTACCAATGGCCGGATTTATGTGATATACAGATGCTACCAGGCGGTGGATGGCTAGTTTGCTTGTCTACCAACGGTACTGTCCAACTGAGGCGTATGGACCGTGCTTTAACGACAGCCTTTACCATCCCCCAGGCCGTCGACATGGCTTCCTTCTCCTCGAGTTGTACAACGGTATCCCCTTATGACTCCTTTTGGGTCCTATTTCACTGCACACAGCGGTATGTATCTTTTCCGCTGCGTATAAGTCTGTCTGGCATTTGATGTTGCAGACTCTATATTTATGAAGTCATCGTGGTCGCTAAGCCCGCTATGCGGTTGGCTCTGACGATGTCGAAGTCAGAATTAGGCCCCCCTGCGGTTATACTACGCAATGCGTCTATCGCTGGTAACATCGTCGGCTTTGACTGCTTCTGGGACGGGCGGGACCTTCTTTGCCTCAGAACCATCACGCCTAATGCTGACGGCCAACATGAACAAGCGGCGTTCATATACGTATGTCTTCCCTGTGACATCTAGCTGCTGATCTGACGTACCAGTAGAGCAAAACGGATTGCACGATCCATGTCCTGAGCCGCAATACTGTCATCCTCAGCGACGCAAGCAGCATCGAAGTCCACAGAATCCCGGACCTGCGCCCCGTCGGGAGTTGTGAGCATCTAGAGATCGTGAAGAGTGAGATCATCTGCAAACGTGAATTCGACATTGTTTCGCCTGGGAACATGACCGGAAGCCCCGCGGTTTGGGACAGTGCGAACGGAGGACACGTAGGACCATTGACCATGATTGGGCCGGGAGTGCTGCACATCGTTCAACCCTCACACGACCTCGAATCCTTCGGTATCCGCTCTTTCCGAGTACCTGAACTCATTTCGCCTTGTCCGGCAGTCGGCACTTGTTACGCACTCTGTCCTCAACCAGAACCAGGTGGAGGTTGGGTTTTCTGGACGGTGAAACACCCCAGGGTGGTCAGAGTGTCGGAGGATGTCGAAGCTCGGCTTCTTCATGTAGAGCCGGACTATGTCCCCCGGGGCCGGTTCACAGTGCGGGAGATCGACCGTACGGGCGTGGTCGCGACTCGGCTTGATGAATGGACAGGACGCGCGTGCGTCATTCTGGAGCATGGACCGAATGGTAGAACGTTAGGCATTTTCGATATAGTGTGAGGACTTGAGGCGGCACACTGGTAGAAGGATCATATGATGCAAACTTACCTCATGGAGAGGAGCTGTAGCGACTCAATGTATCCCAACTGTAGGCTACCGCTCTTTATCTGGCAAGCAAGTTGAATTTCAAGGTGTAACGCTGCACGCCCGGTTGCTTACATACATAGACATACAGTACCAGATGATAAGTCGTGATTCGCACGGAGGGGATATAGTGGCTCCGATATAGAGACCGCTAATCCGAGTGCTCAGTGGCAGACTGATTGACACAGACAGTCCTCAACGCGTAAAAATCACGTGCCAGCGGTTCCCAAGCACGGGTCGGCAGGTGGCATCGAATGGGTGTCCTCTTTGTTCCCGTTCTTCGTATATACTCAAGGTGTTCATGATAATTACGGGATAGTGCTGTCAATGATGAGCGCTGCTTCAGATCTCGTTATCCTGGTAACAGCTTGGACGCACGTCTTGCTGGCACCTTACACTAAAGTCGAAGAAAGCTTCAACCTTCACGCAACGCACGACATCCTCATGTATGGTACTGATATTGAAGGTCTTCATAATGTGCGCTCAACTTAGTTGTCTCACATGCTTCCCGCCATTCACGAGCCTCGAGTATGATCATTTTGTCTTCCCAGGTGCTGTCCCTAGATCGTTCGTAGGAAGCCTCGCTCTAGCTTGGCTTTCCGCACCCATTTTGAACGCTGGTGGCTTCGGGCTGATTGAAACGAAATTGGACATTCAGATCCTTGGTGTGTAACTTTGGAGGCATGCCCGTGGGCTTACCCTTGATTGCATTCGCAGTGCGCCTAACCTTGGCTACACTAAACGCAATGTCCCTTTGCTTGATCCGGCGATCTGTCGCTCGCCGCTTCGGCCGACTGACTGGTCTTTACTTCGCGGCGGTCACTTGTTCGCAGTTTCATTTGCCTTTCTGGATGGGTAGAACACTGCCAAATATGCTTGCACTCACGCCAGGTGCGGACCTCATATTTCTCTTCTGAAGGTGTGACTTACGATCATTATTCTCAGTCAATTTCGCGTATTATTTTATTCTTAGCAGAGCACCTAGCTCAATGAAGCCTTCCACGCGTAGCACGCACTGTGGAATCGCACTCATGACGGCCACGGCCGTCATATTGCGAGCAGAGGTTCTGCCACTACTAGGTCCGATTGTGTTTCAAGCTCTCGTGTGCAGGTATACCACATTTGTTAAGGTACTCAAGGTTGGACTCGTATCAGGCCTGATCTCTCTCGGTGCGAATTCAGGGTCACCTCGGAAATGCCACGATTAACACAATTTTCTAGCTCTCACTGTTCTAGTCGATTCGTTCTTTTGGCAACAGTGGCCGCTGTGGCCCGAATTTTCCGGTCTCTATTTCAACGTATACCAAGGCAAAAGTGCAGATTGGGGTGTACGTCGTGAGATCAGCCTGTGACCAGCGCTCTCACGCCTTTGCAGGTTTCTCCTGCACACACCTATTTCACATCATTCCTTCCCAAGATTCTATTGTCGGCACTACCGCTGTCCCTCCTCGGTGCTGCCATTGATGGTCGCGTCCGCGAAATTCTCTTCGGCCCGCTGGTGTTCGTGGGCCTCATAAGCGCGTTAGGACACAAAGAGTGGCGATTCGTCATATACGCCGTGCCAATGTTCAACGTCGCCGCCGCTAGAGGCGCTCGATGGCTGTTCGTCCACATCATCTTATAGCCTTCTCCTATTAATGAGAGTGATAGAACTGGCCTACGAAAGAGCGCGCTTCTTGGTAGGATGTGCTTCCTGTCCGTCCTTGCCATGCTTGCTGGCAACTGCCTTGTCACGTTCCTCCACACTCAAGCATCGATAGCGAATTATCCCGGCGGAGTGGCTTTGTCTCGGTTCAACGAAAGATTTTCCTCCACAGATTATGGTTCGTACCGCGGCTCTTGTTGTCCTCCTGGTTACTCTGACAGTCCTCGCAAGTGCACGTACACATATCCAACCTCGCAGCCCAAACGGGAGCCTCTCTCTTCCTTCACGAACGTGCACCGCCTTATCCTCCCTACCTGGTCCCCCCAAACGCTTTGCATTGGACGTACAATAGGACGGAGTCGTTGGATGCGCGAGCTTTGACGAACGCAGCCCAGATCACCCACCTTATAGCCGAGTCTCTCGATGACTTCGACATGAAGAGGAAATGGTCGTTGGTCGACACTGTGTCTAGCTTCGACGGCTGGCGACTGAATCTTGGCGTGCTGAAGAAGGGGGGGAGTATAAAAGACCTCCTCACAGTCTTGCAAATGGTCCAGACTGAAAAACTGTATATCCTAGAGCGATACTAACTGATAAGTCGATACGCCGCAGGATTTTTGTAATATAGTACACGTTTGCTCAGCTTGTAATGAAGGCTATAACACTTTCGTTCGACACGCGCTCGCCGTGCTTACGGTCATCGCTAGGATTGCGGAAATGATTGTGGGGCACCGGAAGGTAACCAGTGCGGAAGATTAAAGAGCGCGAAACACTGGAAGCGACAAGTCTACACGACCTCCTCAACATGAAAGTGGTCCGGACTAACAACTTGTATATCAACGTATGGTTCTAGCCGACGTCTTCAAGACATTCATGCCTTACGGCATCACGCTGTGAGTCCCCCTGGCTCGTCGTCATCTACCTTGGATGGCTCTATCAACGGCTGTTCTTCGTCGATATGGATAGGACCTTGCTGCTTGTGGAAGCGTTGGGGAAGCAACGAGCGCAGGCCAGCGATTGCTCCTCCGGCAGTTGGCCAGTTCCTCGCATCCGACGGGGGCTGAATTATGTTATTCGGAATCGATAAGACTTTCCCAGTTATAACGTGCGTTTCTCTGGCTTCCGAAGCTGTGGAATATCTGCAAGGGACATCAATACTTATGCAGTAATTCACCATACGCTTCCCACTTACACTCGCATGAGCACAATGAGGCGTATAAGCTGCACGGTACTTCGGAGGAGGAGGAGGAAACAGGTGACGGCCATCCACATTGTACCGATGGGAGTAGCAAACACCGTGGATATGCCAATGACACCGAAGACGCACAGGATCAGGTCAGCGAGGTCCCATGCAGACACGAAGAAGTGCTAAAGCGTAAAGTCAAAAATCTGAGTCACTAACCGAACGACCAGGAAAAGTACTGACCGGTCTCAGTACGCAGATGCGTAAGGCGACCTCACACATTGTGAAAGTGTTTGCAAGGACGCTGATGATAAAGAAAGGCGGCTCCGGCCACCTGTCCAACCCGAGGGCAAAGGCTGCGGACGAAAAGGCTGCCACTGTCAGGTATAGCAGAACGTATGCTCCAGGAAGGCGCAATCGGTCAGCTATGTCTTGCGAGCTGTCTCTCTCGAGGGCCGAAAGGGACCTAGTATACACATAAGCGGGATGGGTGGTAGTTCCATTAGCCTAAGATATGCGAGACTCACAAAAACGGGATAGCTCGGGCAATGCGTGTCAGGATAAGGATCAAAAGAACGTAGCAGTCGATGATTGCCACAACGGTACCAGCCTGTGATACGAACATGACAGACATAGAAATGGTCCCGAAAAGAGCAACACCGAGTTCAGGTAAATGCCATGTGTCAGTCCAAAATGTCTGCGAAAACATTTAGTTGGAACGCGTGCGTTTGGAGCGAGGTTGACTTACAGGCCCTAGGAGGAACATCTTGATCACGGCTTCCATTATTAATGAAGCGTTCATCAATATGACCAAAACGTAAAAATTCAGGCCAGGATACCACGATAGTGTGCCTATGAGGAGAGCCGGGAGACAAAAACATAGCAGCTGGACGTTGGCCAAGACGTAGACACCGGGATAAAGGCGAGGATTGAGGAAATCCTTTGTGCGATACCTAGAGATACAACAACACGTCCTTTAAGCAACGAGTAGCAATACTCGTAAGTAGATACCTACGTCAGTCTCACATCATCCTGGGTGTGCAGGTAAATTGTCCGGTCACTATCCAGAGATGACCTGTCACTTAAGCCCTCGGGGTTGTCAGGGTAAGGTTCAGGCGGTATAGCAGAATACTTCACAACCATGGCTGCTGGGTTGGAGTGGGTAGTTTGTTACGCTGTACCAAATATGTGGCGTCTCTTATCTAGTCAGACCCACCAGTTGCTGCGCAGATTTAATCCAACCGCCCCGCGTTCCCCGACCGGCCTTAGACGGCGTGAAGCTTCGTATACAGCTGCGCACTGATATCTCCGGACATCACGAGATGTCTCCGTTTGTCACTGTTAATGACATGCTGAGAGCTGAGGGAACTGAGAAACACAACAGGGCTGACGGTGTACGACTTTAACATTTGACAGTCCGTGTGGTCGATCAAACACCGTTAATTAGCTTAGTTGCTTTCGACCTGTGAGCTCGGTATCGAAGGTAGAGTTGCAAGACATCATGGGTTATATTGTGGACCTAGCTGTTGGTCAGTGCCTGTCATTGCGGAGGAGACAAATCCGTGTTGTGCATGGTGGTCAGCGGTCAGACTCTTGACCTGGAGAATCTTCAATCTCTACTGTGGTGAAAATCGTGGCATCTGAATCACGGTACATGGTCAGGGTCCTGCGATGTGAGCGCGTTATCCAAGACCGCAGCTACTCACCTTCCACTATCCAATCGCGATGGCGGAACGCCATCAACCGAAGACTATGAATCGACCGTAATAGCAGCTTGATAATAGCCAATAAGATTGTACGTACCCCTCAAGCTGCCCCGCGTGAAACTACATGGCAAAATACCTTAGATAACGAATTAATTCTGCCGACGATTGGGCCGCCCGCCCTGAGGTTTTACAGTGGCAAGGCACTGTATGTAGGGCTGTACCTCAGGCTATAGTCAAGTGCTAGAATAATAATATCGCTTGTCTAAAAAAATGCGGCAATGAGCCGTCGGCAATCATTAGAGGGCAGCGAAGGTTACAAAGCATACGAACGTAACGAAGTCCTCCGTCCAGACTCCACGTTCGAACGTTTAATTCAATATAAACGTGGGTGGCCCATGCTGTATGCACTACGGTGGACTTGGTCCAGCACTTTGGCGGCAACGCCGCAGCGGTCTCGAACAACTGAAGTGGTTTGATAATTCCAAAGTGGAGGGCATTCGTTCGGTGCTGACCTCGACAGAGTCTTTACTGGCATACGAGTTCTTTGTCGCGGTCAGAGCTGATCTACCTTCACTGTTAAATTCATTGACACTGCATGCCTATGTCATAGTTCGCAAAGTTGAGCGAGTCCGGTTCCACGGGACGCCATATTCCGCACCTGACTTAGCCGAGTAGTGTATCGCAAGGCGTACGATAACACCGTCGAAGAACGGAGTTTGCTGTTCCTTCGAATTCGGTAGGTACACCGATTGCGACGGTCCATATGTCGGACTTGAGTGAAATCTCTCTGAATCTTTCCGCTGTAAACATAACTGGTCACCGGCCGTTCTATCAGGTATGCACGTTCCCGCTAATATCGACTTCGACACTGGCTATCGATGCATTGCCAGCTAACGATCTACTAGATCCTGACCCGTGATTCTTCACCCGCAGGCCCGACGGCGAAATCAAAACGAGGTGGCTCGATTGACGGGAATAGACCAGACGCTGGCTCACCTTCCGGTGTAGCGCTGAGGCGACGCCATCATCCGTGCAATACATTTTGGAGTTCGATTGGAAGAAGATGCGAAGATCGTCTTTCCGGTCTCGTTCGGGAGGTCTATTCGAGGCCTTTGGTCACCTCCCCGTGTTTCCCCATAGGTCGGTGGCTATTTGGCCCAGAGCTGCCGCAGTGCACTTATCCTGTCATACTACTTCCAGCGCTTCTCCGGGCCACGTTTCATCCAACTGACTCTCAAAATAAGCTCGTGGGTCCCTAGCACGCCATACAAAGATACATCACATCTTCGTACTCTCACGTCTGTATCACCGGGACTCGGACTGCATCCAGCTGACCGGACTTATCTTTGTTAGTGACGTTTTCTTGGACGCACCTTTTCCAAGATAGTGGAGACTTCGACGTGAGTTACCTGGAGATCTCCTCTTCGGGCCCGCTAGCGGCAACTATGAGCATGGTCACGCGAACAAGTCTGTGCATCTGGATGGAGCCGTGGCGACTCTCGAATGCCGGAGAAAGCCACTCGCTATGCCTGAATCATTCACAAGGAGATATTGCTAGGGTGCTTGAATAGAATGTTAATGATTGAAAGAGTCATGGGTTGCATGAGGTTTCCTGCGGAGTCGGCTAGTCCACCGGTCGATTGCTGCTGCGGTTCAGCACTTCGCGGATATCATCACATCGCAAGTATTAGCCTGAAATGTGGCACTCAAGGGGAGGACCCTGAAAACTCTCGTAGGAGGTGTTTGCTCTTGTTTGTCCCTGTCCATCGTAGCTCGCCGCCATCGCTCGCTGACATTTTTCCTGCTCCCAGTGTCGTTTCAGTGGTCAAGACGCATCTGGATTTTGCTGTCGAGCTGGATCCATCGTCAGTCAGGATTGCACTAGACTGAGGCTGGACTGAGAGGTATGCAAGCACAAGTCATAAGGTTTGTTTGTGTTTTATATGCTACATTCGAGCGTGTGTAAAAGCCGACTTAGGGATTTGTCTATTGGAGGAATGCTACTGAGCAGCTGTTTCTTTTACTGCTACACTGCCCACGTCGCGTTCTCGGTCTCGAATATGGAGTCGAACTGAACCCACTGCGGGTAGAGGCAAAATCAGCCAAATAGGGGCGCATATAGTCCACATGCGCCCTGTCACATCGGACAACTCAATATATGATGCTGACCTGAACCCGGTCGTGAATGTCAAACCGTAAGAAGTAATATACAGCCAAAGCAATATGTAATACTCATTTTGAGATTGTTTAGTCCAGCAATAGACAGTAAGGAATATCAAATATGACATTAGCTGCCGTTAAGGGGAATATATCTGCCCGTAGGCAACCTTTCTCTCCATGTTATATGTGATGACATATAACATATATGGGGACGGTTACCACCCGAGAGTTATAACTTAAGTATATAACGAGAGTGTACGCAACACAGTATTCCAAATATGGCTCAGCATATGGGTACTTGTGATATAATTTACCAGATTCACGCATCAGAATCCACTTCAGCCTGTGAACAATATGTCATATATGGCTTTCAATCGATATTGAGTGGGCCGCCGGCGGCAACAGGCGGCGCCACTCAGCGGCAACAGGCGGCGC